TGAGTTGAGCTGACGTTTCCATTGAATTTCACATAGCCTTGCTTTCCCAAAAGTTTTTCTCATCCAGGGTCGACTGCAGTTTCGATCTCGCATTGGTCTTATCAGCACTCCAAGCGGGAGTTGAACCATGGCAGTTCAGCATGTAATCTAGACACTATATGATAGCTTCTGCTGTTTGTGGTTTCATGAAATGTAACTAATGCAGTCCAAGGTGTCTAGTCGACAGACCTAGGTTTCAACTGATTCAATGTAGCCGCAGTCACTCTTTTCGCCTTGGCACTTCATTTTCGCTTATTCACCGGGGCATCTCGCTTCACAACCTTAACAGTATAGTCATAGCCCGTTTAAGGCATCTGGAAATACCTCTGCCAATAATTTTTTTGTCATTTTCTCGGACATGCGGAGCGAACACAAGAGGCAACATAATTGCCGCATCTGTATGAAAGTGAGTATTAGTCTTTCAGGCATATTTGTATCGTATTTGGCGTCTTGCAAGTGCACTGGTACCCGGTCTAGTCTGGATGAATCACTCTTGCGATCGGGTGAAAGAACCGCAGCGAAACAAGCTCGTTATGCTCATTGCCCCACCAACCATCTGCATGTTTTTACTCTGCCATCAGTGCCATACATAGACTGATAAGCCAGCGGACAAGACTTAGTATAAGTAGGGAAGAATCAACAGATAACTCCGATACACTTTATCTCGTGGCTGTATATAGCCGTGTGTGTCTACTTCTTCATGGACACTGTGTTCACTGTGTGCCTATATATGCACTCTTGCAGCGACCCTTCAGATTTAAATCTCACTTCAGTGCTCAGCCAGTTTTCCACCATTTGCTTGTGAATTTATTATTTTCATTTGTATGTATTTGGGAAATATCATTAGAACCATTTGATCTATATGGACTTTCAGGGTGTGACTGGCAGACTGGAGAATTAAGATAAAAGAAGCCCAACTGGCATCTATAGAGGATCTGCCCATGAAAAAGAAAAGAGTAGACTTTTTTAAGGAAATGCTCGCCGTGCCACTTATCCCAAAAGTGGGTTCTTATCCAAGGAGCTTTGTTTAGGACAGCATCTATTTTCCTCTATGCGCAGCAAAGTATGTGATTTTTTGCCCAAGCACGTGGTCTTTAGGCCCAATTTCAAGATAACCAAGAGCTAAATCGTGTTTCTTATTGCCCTCCATGAAGGCACCTGAAGACATTTTCCCTCTATAAAAATGACTGCCTCGACTGTAATCGCAGATATAAATTTAAAAATAGTGGGACCTCTATTCTAGCTGCCGTCTCCTTTGCTGTATAGAAGCAGTTCGGCATTGTTATTGCAATCTGGTTACATTTTCAGGACGACTTCGATGAATTCACTTTGTTCTGAGGCCTCTGGCACAGTATCCATGACTTGTATTGTTGCTCGGGCAATTCAATCAAGTGGCGCCTTGAGTACAGCACCAGAAAAACTGGTAGGCGAGGCACCATAAAGTAAGTTTGGACGATAAGGGGATTAGTAGTTAAATATTTTCCACAATGATATGAGAAGAGCTGACGTTTTCATTGAACTCCACATAGTCTTGCTTCCCAAAAGGCGTCCTCATACAGGCTGGACTCGACTGCAGTTTCGACCTCGCCTAGATATTCTCATCAACACCCACAGCGGGACTCGAACCAGGATAGTGCAGAGTATAATATCGACACAATAGCCATACCACATTCTGTTGTGGGAGCGTCGATGAAGGAATGTTGCATTTGCTATAACAATCAACTGCACTACTTATTTTTCATTTATAAGTAGGTTTTTTTATGCGAAGGTGCCTGGCCTTCCTTGAATTTCATATCTGCCCTGTGACCCAAGAGCACTGGTGGCAATGTGGCGTAGTGTTCAATGTGTCGAGATTACACACTGAACCGTCCCGGTTCGAGTCCCGCTGGGGGGGCTAATGAGAAGACCTGAGAGAGGTCAAACTGCAATCGAGTCCTGCCTGGCTAAGAATACCTTTTGGGAAGCAAGGCTATGTGAAATTCAATGGAAGCGTAATGCCTATTCATATGATTATGGGAAGATTCAACTACAAGTCCTTCATCATCTTTAGTTAAATAAGGTGAATGCTTGTCTTATATCAGACACAATGTTAGTCTCAAAAAATCTACTTAGGAAACAATGATTTTCATCTACTTTAATAGCGATGATTATGCTTCAATATTATCAGGTGATCTTGAGTATATTCGGCGTTACCGTAAGCGATTTACGATGACTAATGTTGTTACATTATTGGTGATATTTACAAGAGTAGGCGTCACACAGTGTGTGTAGAACTTCGTTAGTGAGTGCCTGCTAGGAAACGAGCGAAGGCTTCTAGCAATTCCGAGGTATTGGTCCGTAACTCATGAATATTAACTCTAGTTTGAATTCGGCTTGCTACCTGATGCTCGCATATTTACAAAAGTTGATTCGGCCAAACTGCTCCTGGTCCTTGTTACTCGAACCATGCAGTTAATAATACCAAAAAAGTAAAAGAGCCTGAGCAATTCTTGGTCTCTTAAGGCGATGCAGGGAGCTATAGTCGATTTTCCTACATCGAGCTGAGCCAATTAAATTCATTTATGGAAAATTCACCTTAAGCAAATTAGGATAACTCAATTTCTTATTCATACTTTACTGATAATCTAGACGAATGCTCTCCTCGAATATGCATTCATTCGGTCATACTTCCTATCCTTATATCTTTTCTCTTTCTGATTCACCTTTGTAGACGGCCGCGATGAGCGGTGTCACATGAGAAAGACAGGCCCACATCTCTACGACTGCAACTACACTCCACATAAAGCGGGAACCCATCAAGTGCACATTCGTTATGGCGGCGATCACATAATGCTGAGTCCCTTTATGGTAAGCTTGCGCATTCAAAAAGAGGGTAATCAGGATGATTTACTTGTGAGAAATAAAAACACATCTAATTTGAGTGAGAAATTCATGATTTCGCGAACAAGTTGAGGAACAAGTTGTAAAACAGAAGGACTTGCTTATAATGTCCGATTCATCTGCAATGTATACTAATATTTTTATAAGCCGGGCAACACAATCTTTATAGTAGTTGTTTCACCATGTTTTCCCAACTTGGTCATATTGGTAGGAAGACTTATAGGAACGCACCCAGTCCAGTGGTTATTATATGCATGATAATTTCCAGAGTCGGATCGTGGACTTGGTACATTTCCAGACGTTTCGTCGGCATTTTCAATGAGCCTTGCCACTCTTAGCACCACATCCTACAACTCGTCAAAGAAATAAATGAAGTCGATCTTTGACCAATTGTCTACTAAACAGTTGTGATATCTCTTCTATTCTGGGGTATTCACCTATCCTATACTCTCGTATCACCCGCTCTTGTGAAGTGGGCGGAGTAGTCAAAAAGTGTAAATTGATTAAAATTTGTATTCTACCGGAAAGTTCATACTTAGCTGGAGTAGGCCGCAGAGTCTACCCGGTTCCAGTCCCCTCAGTACTCCCAAAGGGATTCGGGACCAGATTTCGAATCCCAGTTGCATTGTAAGCAAGTATATATGTCACCTCAGATGTTAAAGCACTTTCTGAGTGCAATGCTTACTCAAATCCCCTGCCAAGCTCGAACTTTACATGTACTCGGCCTTGTGTGATGCTTCAAAGAGGAACATTGGGATCATACTATATTACCTAATTAGATAACCCTGACAACTTTAGTCGTTTCATTGGAGGTATGAAGACCAAGATTGTGTGGCCTTAAGTATAGTCGCGGTCTCCTTCCGTTGTAAAGAAGTTGTCCAAATTTATTTTGCAAATTGGTCACATGGGCAGGAAGACCGAGAGAAACACACCTTGTCCGGACTCCATAGTATGCATAATAATATGCATAGTCGGACCGTGGACTTAGTCCGACTCAGGAAATTATCATGCATATTATTGACTCTGGACAAGGTGCGTTCCTCTCTGTCTTCCTTCTAATATGATCAAGTTGCGAAAACAAGATCAAATAACTTCTTTAGCCATTTCATTTATTAAACACAAACTTAAGAACATTTTAGCCTTTTTATTCATAAGTAGCTAAGTCAATATTTCAGAATTATTTCTATAAATTACCCTTATTTTCATATGTCTGTATATATATGTGTGTACAATATCTTTGGGATGTGGGAAAACTGTTCCATTTTAGTGGCCTAGAAATTAACGTGCTTTGCTGCTTTGCTGCTTTTCCTACCTTTTTAGGACCCTCTGCCAGTTATCTAAAGAATACTCTACCTAGCCGATTTGGCTAAGTAGTCAAAATCCGGTTCTTTTTGGTCGTTAAGCCACACCGATCCACGGCTCATGGTTGATTAAGCCTTAAAGTGCTTCCTTCTAGTTGCCACCCCTGATAGTTCAAGAATTCTTCTTTATGCGCCAGAATCTGATAAAATTGTGCAGGAGCGAAGTATACACTAAAATGTCACGTATATATATTTATTTATTCACTTATATTTATATATATTGTCCTCAAGTATCCGATCTTACACCATTCTAGACTCATTTTATTCTCAGTTTACACGTTTGTGTTTCAAACCAAATTTTTTTTGAATCGAGATTAAAGTTGGCTTATCAAATCCCGATTAACAAGTACGAGACAAAATATCAGGAATAAGACGTACATACTAACCCATAATGTCGATTCTCTAGGCACAAAAATCTGATGTCGTCAGCTGAATAAGCTTAGGACTAACAGCCAACGGGGCGTCAGATGAGCAGAACATTTTACCCTAGTCATGACGAACTTTTCAGTTATTCTGCATGCCTCCAAACGTAACCATACATATCGCAATTTGACAGTGAATTTGACTTATTGGTCTTCTCGTTTTTACCCTTTTCTCTTCAGAAACGTTGGAAGGCTCTCTTTACAAGAGATTCTCCATTTTGTGGAACTTGATAAAAACAAGACTCCGCACCAAATGGTAGCTTGTAGAAATATATTTGCTCCTGAGGTGTTTCCGTTGCGAATATATTATGACACTTGGTCTAAGAAGATAGTACAGCAAGATCGATGATTTAGGCTAGGGTTTACTTAAAATAACAATGCCATCGTTTGCTACAGCCTATGCACATTTGCTGATCTTTCGGTAAAC